GCACGCGAACGTCGTCGAGGTCGCGATGGCGAAGTCGACTTCGGGCTGGTATCCCGAAGTCGATGTGGCTCGTCAGGTGCAGACAACAGCCGACGGATGCACAGCGAGGCGATTCGGGCCAGCCGTCTGCACGCACCTGCAAGCGTGCGCACTGCTGTCTTTGACGGGGCAACGCTGGACAGCCGCTTCGCTGCAGCGTTGGCACGCCGTCGACCTGCAGTGTTGGCAGGTCGCCCTTCTGCAGTGCTGGCGCGGCTCCTCTATGCTACGCTGGCAGGCGGTCGACCAAGCTGCGCTAGCGGTCGACCAAGCTAGCTTCAGAGTTGCTAGGTGCCTGATGTAGTCATTGTTGTCATTGTTTGTTCAACTGTTTTTGTGATTTTGACTTTGCTAGTGGAAACTCTTGCCGATTTCTCCCGTGAACGTGCAAGCGCTAAGGAACTAAGCAAAGCTACGATCACTCCCAGTAGGTCGTGCCAACCCCCGTAGTCTAGCTCAGTACCGTTGTAGAGTGACTCTTTGCAATCGTCGACGTAGACAAGCACTCAGCAAGCCACTTTGTCGTCGCTGACTTTGAAGTAGATGCATATCACTTCTAGATCTGTTGAAATCTTGGGAAGCCTCTTCGCACAAGCTGATGCCTTCTTGAACCAATTGCAAATCATCCAATGACACATCTGCAATGGAAGCTTCCAAGCGTTCTCCCACATCGGTCGATTCATTATACGGTGAGGAGCTGGCCACAGAGCAGCTCAAAATGGTCACTCTGCCACTGGTAGCATTGTTATGTCAAATAATCGGATCATATGTCAAAGTGTTGGCGAAGTCGTTACAAGTAGCACCTAGGAGACCAGTATCAGTGCAAGGTTCCAAGGTATCAGCTATGGCTGCAGCTCCAGCTGCTGCTTGCAGTTTCTGCTGCCCTCACCATCCACCATGTAAACTGCTGCTTAAACCGAAGCAGCTTGTCGAAGCTGTTGTTGTAGTTGGCAGCGCTGCAAATGCTGCTGGGAGTGGGACTTGTGCTGCAAACGAACGTATCTGAGTTCCATGCTCGAAATCTGCTTCCATCATGCTGTCTGCTGCTGAAAGGCAGTCGTCTCACACCCCAACGCGGCAATAACATTTGGTGGTCTCATCCAAGCATATCTTTGGAAATCAGGTTCATGTGAGGCAGGCTGGTGGTTAAGATAACTAGCACAAGGGACGCAACCCCAAGAAGGAACGGTAAACTCCGTGCTAGGATTAATATCAGCTTCAGTAGTTATTGCACCCTCTGAGTTACTGTCTCACTGAACCATGCTCTTGTCAACGAGAGCTGTGGTTGGTCCCGTCCTCGCTTGGGCGGAGCCGACTTTGGGGTCGGGTGTCCGGGAGGTGCAGCTGACTTGTAGCAGTGGGCAACGCCGAAATGGGCGAGCTGGTCGACAGTTTGGTCGACCTTTACGGGGCCACTGCATTGCTGCCGACCTTGGGGAGCCGGCGGCCGACTTTGGGGAAGTCGATATGGGATCGACCTGGCAGGGCGTCGACTTGGTGACGCCGACCTGGGGAGTGGCCAACTTGGTGAAGTCGGCTGGCGGTCGTCGACTTGGTCAGTCGACGAGCATGTACAACTTTCGGTCGACTTTCCCCGAGGAAGTCGACGCCAACCTGGTGATTTCCATGTCGACCGCGTTACCCGTGCGACGAATTTCTGCGGAGGTGTGCGACAGTAGCCCGGGTGGTCGTGGCAATGCCGACCTTGGTGGTGATATCCCAAGGTCGACGTGGATGATCAGTTGCGGTCGTCATCACGAGGACGATCTGGTGTCCGCGCTGTGCAGGTGATAAGGCACAGCACACCAATCATCTGCGAACTCCTGCGAAGCGGGTGCGCTGCTGTCCGGCGGGTGCAACGCTGTGCAGCCGCCTTGCTGCAGCGTTCGCACGCCGTCGACTTGCAGCATTGGCAGGCCGCGACTTTGTACTGCTGGTGTGCAGTCGACCATGCAGCGCTGGAACGCGGTCGACCGCGCTGCGCTGGCAGTCGACCTGCTTGCATGCTAGCATCTAATGTAGTCATTGTTGTCACCATTGTTGCTATCATTGTTGTGAACATTTGCTAGTGAAACTCTTGCCAAATCTCCCTGTGAATGAGGAAGTAGTGAGAGCACAAGTAAATGACTAAGGAACGAATGCTACGATTACGCCCACCCCGTGCCTAGCCCGTAGACTAGCTCCCGTTGTAGTAACTATTTCTGCAGCTCTCACCTACCCTTTCACCCTCGCGCTGACCGTTACAGTACAGTTCAGCACGTTCTATCATCCTGCAAAAATAGCCCTCCTCCACTACCCCCCCACTACCCTCTCCCCTCCCCCCCCCCCCCCCTCTCCCCCCTTCCCACCTCCCATCTACACGTTTTTTTTTTTTCAACCCTGCCCATTTGTTATTCCAGCCCAAAAAGAAATCCAAACCAGTTAATGCATGAGCTCGTCCAGGCGCTCTTATATGAGTACAGTCAGATTGATGCAGTCTATTCCCGAAGGGCGTCGACTTTGCCTAGCGACCAAACTTGGTCGTCGATGTGCCTGCTTGCGAGAGAGTATGAGGACAGTGACTCTAGTGCGCTGAGTGGCATTCGCTCATTTGAATGCAAAACTGATAAGATGCTCTGGAAGCAAGTGTTGTCCGAAAGGACGGATGCTCTTAAAACCAAGTGTTACGTATGCAATGTAGTGAGAAAAACAAGGATTGCATCAAACAATCAAGGAAAAAGTAGAGTGCTAGTGAAGGCATGGGCAAGCAGGTCATACAGAAGCAAAATTACGAAGGGCACACTACGGAATGCCGGCATTGAGGCACGGGCTAGACCCAAAACGTAGGCTTGGTCTGGCAAAAGTTGGCGCGGGGTGCAGTGAACACCGGGGGCTGGTAATGGGCAAAGAAGGGTCGAAGCCCAGTGTACAGTGTTGTACATGATGAGACCAGATGCGCTGTAAGGAAAAAAAAAATCCCTTACTATCATCCACCAATTTCCACAACTGAAAATCGGTCAGGACTCAGGTTGCAACTAGCCCTCCGTGATCTGTTTCCTTGTTTCTTACAATGCCCAATCAGTTTAACTGGCCTAAAAGTGTAGAAACAAGTGTTTTTGAACGTTCACAGGTCGCATCCATCACACAATACGAATGCACATTTGTACACTAAGCTAGCGAACCTCCTGTAGGATCTTGCTTATGCACAAAAACACATTGCCACTACTTTATCTCATCTCCTAGACAATCGGACAGTATACTATCAATATTGTCAAAACCCTGCACAACAAGTGTGCACATCGCTTCTCGATTGTCGAAATCATGGGAACTGACCTGGCACATGCTGATATCCTTTTGAGCTAAGTACAGCTCATCCAATGACACATCTGCAACAGAAGCTTCCCAATGTTCTCCCACATCGATTAATTCATCATGCGGTGATGACCTGGCCACGGAGCAACTCAAACTGTTCATGCTGCCACCACGGCTGGTAGTGCTGTTATGTCGAACGATTCGATCGAAGGTCAGACGAGTATCACCCAACAGACCATTATGGCAAGTGCCAGACTCCTTAACATCGCTGCTGTTAATATGGGTGTAGCTCGTGCTGCTGTTGCTAACCTTGCATTTTCTGCCGCCCCCACCATCCCCCATATAAGCTGCTGCTTCGACCGAAGCAGTTTGCCGAAGTTGTTTCGTAGGCTGATAATGCTGCAGGTATTGCTGGGAGTGGATTGTGTGCTGCAGACCACAATCTCGGAGTCGCATGCTTGTCATCTGCTTCCATGATGCTGTATGCTGCTGCAAGGCAGTCGTTTCACATGCTGATGTGGCGATACCACCACATGCTGACACGTCAGCAACAGCATCACTTGGTGGACCCATCCATGCGTCGCTTTGAAAAGCTGGTTCATGCGTGGACGGCGGGCGCATACCAGGAAGAGTACAGGAGGCACAACCCCAAGGAGGAGTGGTGAACCCAGGGCCAGGAATGACATCGGCTTCCGTAGTGGTAATACCAACGCCATTGCCCGTAATACCAACGCCATTGCTCGTAATACCAACGCCATTGCTAGTAGTACCAACGCCATTGCTCGTAATACCAACCCCATTGCTAGTAATACCAACGCCATTGCTCGTAATACCAACGCCATTGCTCGTCACACCAAGCCCATTGCTGTTAACACCCAGCCCATTACTCGTAACACCAGAGTCAGCTGCAGGAGCAGCAGAAACAGAATCGAAGGCCGCTGGCATGCCTGAGGGTTTGGCAGTGGGATGAACTGTATAGGCTGCCTCACTGTGGCCAGGTGCATGCAGATATGGAACGAATGCGGTGGCAGTACGTGTGCGTGTGGTAACCATGGGGACATCAGTGACGCCCGTGGTGACATCAGTGACACCAGTGGTAGAAGTCACTACACCAGGAGCATTTGCTACCCGTTGGCCTTCAAGATTCTCATTGCACAGAAGAGAAGAGGGCACATACTGCTGCGGTTGCTGCTGCTGCTGCTGCTGCTGCTGCTGCTGCTGCTGCTGCTGCTGCTGCTGTTGTTGTTGTGGTTCCTGCTGCTCTTGCAGGTGCTGCTGCTGCTGCTTCTGTTGTTGCCAATGCCACTGCTGCTGTAGATGCTGCTGCATTTGCTGCTGCATCTGCTGCAGCTGCTGGTACCATTGCTGAAACTGCAGTTGTGGATGCTGGTGCTGCGCCTGCTCCTGCAACCGACAAAGACGTCTCTGGCTCTGATGCACTGACTGCTGCAGCCGCTGCTGCTCTCGCTGCTGAGACTGCTGCAGCATTGACTGCTGTGGTTGCTGGTGCATCGGTTGCTGCAGGCTCTCTTGCTCTCCTACTCGGTGCGAGGAGAACCCCATTTCCTCCAGTACTGCACCTTGCATCGGCTTCATGTGAGCACCCTGCTGCTCCTCTGGCTTCTGGGTGTGCTGGTACATCGGCTGTTGCAACTCAGATCGAATCGCTTTCAACTGCTGCACCCAGGGGCCGCCCCGCTGTTCCACAGCAACAACGTCAGGGACTGCACTTGGGTTCTGCCACCCGTCGAACCTAAGTTGTTGCACCTGCTGCCTTAGCACTCCCCCCTGCTGATCCAACGCACTCAAGGATTCAACTGCGATGGACGCGGCTGGAGCCTGAGACGGTTCAAGAGCCGTCTGTCTCGCTTCTTGAATCTGCCCCCTCTGCCTCATCTGCAGTCCCTGCTGCAATTGCACTCCCCCCCCCGGCTCCCACGGACTCAAGGATTGGACTGCGTTGGGGCCGGTTGAAGCCTGAGACGGCTCAAGAATTGGCTCTCTCGCCTCTGGAATCTGCCCCATTTCCCCAATGTGCCTCAGCTGCAGTCCCTGCTGCCCATGAGCGAGCTCGTCTGAGGATTTTGCTCCCCCAGCAGCTGGAAATGGCACTGGAATAGAGTGTGCAGCATGTGCGTTGTAACCAGAAGCAGCAGAGCCTGCTGCAGCACCAGCACCAGCAGAAGCATCACCAGCAGAAACAACAGCTGCTGCCACTGCTGCGGCAGCAGTTGCATGGTTACCAGCGCGAGAGCTTGGATTAGGCGGCGCGACATTCCAACCAGTTGCTTTCAGTGACGCCAGCGTTGAGTACATGGTTTCAGATGCTGGTGCTGACAATGTTGATGATGCTGCTGCTGCTGCTGCTGCTGCTGCTGCTGCTGCTGCTGCTGCTGCTGCTGCTGCTGCTGCTGCTGCTGCTGCTACTCCTGCTCCTGCTGCTGCTGGTGATGCCACTGATGCTGCTGTTGCTGCTGTTGCTGCCACTGGTGCTGGTGCTACTGTTGTGGCCGGCCGAGATGTTGCTGCTGCAGGGACGGCAATTGGTGCATGGAAAGCGAGTGGTTGGAAGCTTCCGGTTCGAAGCAGAGATGGAGGAGCAACGCTGCTGGTACAAGCCGCTGGTGTGGAAGGACGACAGGTTGTAGCAGGAGGCCAGGTTGTAGATCGAGGACAAGGAAGAATTGCAAGAGTGGGGGCGGTTGTAGCAGAAAAGAAGGTTTTAGCAGGAGGGGAGGTTGTAGCAGAAACGAAGGTTTTAGCAGGAGGGGAGGTTGTAGCAGAAACGAAGGTTTTAGCAGGAGGGGAGGTTGTTGCAGAAACGAAGGTTTTAGCAGGAGGGCAGGTTGTAGCAGAAACGAAGGTTTTAGCAGGAGGGCAGGTTGTAGCAGAAACGAAGGTTTTAGCAGGAGGGCAGGTTGTTGCAGAAACGAAGGTTTTAGCAGGAGGGGAGGTTGTTGCAGAAACGAAGGTTTTAGCAGGAGGGGAGGTTGTTGCAGAAGGAAAGGTCGTCGTAGGAGGAAGATTTGCAGCAGGAGGGACAGTAATAGCAGAAGAAAAGGTTTTATCAGGAGGACAGGTTGTAGCAAGAGGCCAGGTTGTAGCAGGAGGGGAGTTTGTAGCAGTAGAAAGGCTTGTAACAGGTGGGAAGGTTATGCTGGAAGGAACATTTGTAGGAGGGAAATCTGTAGAATGGGGGAAGGTTGTAGCAGGAGGCGAGGTTGTAGCAACCGTGGCAGTAAGATGAGCATGAGCAACGCATTGGCATGTTGGCGCGTGGTTATGTGCGCCGGAATACACCGTCCGCACCACCACTCGCATCTCAGTTCTCCCACGCCCTGGATTGTCACTTCCTGGAGCCGAGTGATGGTTTGTGGAAGTGGATCTTTTCGCCTTTGCAGTGGCGCCTTGAGGCTTGTAGCGGCAAGGTCGGGCCTCCCCAGCCACCCGGTCTTCCGTCTTTTTTGCCGGGCAGCCCGTGAGCTGCTTGAATGCGCAGACGAAGTATATCCTGCAGCAGAGACGGACGGGAAACTGGCACCTGTTAGATTCATGGTTTGGTTTAAAAACCCTGGGATAAATGAATATGCTTAGCTGACTGTCAAGCTCAGCGAAAGCGGGCGGCTCACTATAGAGATCCATAGAGATCCGAACAGGCAATTTGTAAAGGAGGTGGGAGAAGAAAGATGCTAAGACTGCTTCTAGCCTGAGTCAAGGTAACCCTCGCACCAATAGTACCTTTTCACTTGCTGTCGAATGATCCGTTTGTGCGATACCTTGCGCCATCTAATCCCTTGGCAGCCGTGGCAACCGTTTCTCAGTGCATGGAAATCCACGCGCTGCTGCTCAGCAACTGGCTGCTGGTTCTGCTGCTGCTGTTGGTGTCGCTGCTGGTGATGCTGCGGATGATCATCATGAAATGATGATAGATGCGACCCATTATAACTGTTCATCTCACTGTTGCCGTGAGAGCAGGCAGCAGGCAGCAGGATGTCACAGGATGTTGCTTGTCACAAGATGCAGATGCACGTCACACGAGCGGTCAATGGGTGCGGTCAACGCCGCTGGATGTCAATGTGTCAGTCACAAGGTCCTGGGATATCCGATGTGGAATGTCAATGTGTCAGTCACAAGGTCCTGGAGATGTGGGATGTCAATGTGTCAGTCAAGGACCTGGGATATCCGATGTGGAATGTCAATGTGTCAGTCACAAGGTCCTGGAGATGTGGGATGTCAATGTGTCTGTCACAAGGTCCTGGAGATGTGGGATGTCAATGTGTCTGTCACAACGTCCTGGGATATCCGATGTGGAATGTCAATGTGTCAGTCACAAGGTCCTGGAGATGTGGGATGTCAATGTGTCTGTCACAAGGTCCTGGGATATCCGATGTGGAATGCCAATGTGTCAGTCACAAGGTCCTGGAGATGTGGGATGTCAATGTGTCTGTCACAAGGTCCTGGGATATCCGATGTGGAATGTCAATGTGTCAGTCACAAGGTCCTGGAGATGTGGGATGTCAATGTGTCTGTCACAAGGTCCTGGGATATCCGATGTGGGATGTCAATGTCCTCTGAGTCAGAGGAGTCCCTGTAAGTCACAGGAGGCGTCTGGGATGTCACGGGAGGAGTCACTGGAGAATCTGAGGAGGTCACTGCATGTCAGAGGAGGTCACTGCATGTCAGAGGAGGTCACTGCATGTCAGAGGAGGTCACTGCATGTCAGAGGAGGTCACTGGATGTTACTGCATGCCTCGGGATTTCAGGAGGTCACTGAGTGCATGTCAGATGAATCAGCAGACTATGTCAGATGACTCATCTGCAAAATGTTGACCACCTCAGCCTGACCCATGGAAAATCGGACTCAGCAGACTATGTCATATGACTCAGCAGACTATGTCAGATGACTCAGCAGACTATGTCAGATGACTCAGCAGACTATGTCAGATGACTCAGCAGACTATGTCAGATGACTCAGCAGACTATGTCAGATGACTCAGTAGACTATGTCAGATGACGCAGCAGACTATGTCAGATGACTCAGCAGACTATGTCAGATGACTCAGCAGACTATGTCAGATGAATCAGCAGACTATGTCATGAATCAGCAGACTATGTCATGAATCAGCAGACTATATCAGATGAATCAGCAGGATATGTCAGATTACTCAGCAGACTATGTCAGATGGCGTCACAGGTCGTGGCTGAGGAGTCAAACGCCCATCCGCTGCGTGAAGAATGGTCGTACCGGCGCCCGGCGGGCCGCGACCGTTTGCAGTCCGACTCACCGTACTGACGGCAAGATGGTGCTCGCAAAAATGGGCTGACTTTTGAGTCGACTAAAGATGGGCCTCGGACGGAGCTGCGGAGATTCACGGCACTTACAAGCTTTGACGAAATGTGGACCAGCTTTGGAAACCTGACATGATCCGACTCGAATGTCACACGAGTCTTTTAATCAAGCTGACCTCGTTCTACTACTACCGTACTACTACTAATTCAAGTTCCGGCATCGACTCGATGATTCAAGCGACCAGTTAGATCGGAAGGGATGATTCAAGTGTTCCTCCACCAGATCAGTACAAGTTGAACGAGAGGATCCCCGAGGCACAGGGCCTGTCATTACAAGCTGTAAGGAGCACGTCTAATCAGGTAGGCGAGATATGATGGCGATAAACTTGAGCTGAGAGACAGCAAACCTCAGGTTGGGATATGCTACTAGTAACGGCGATGATCAGCGTCAACCTGATGACTAGTAATGTGGCGACACCAATGTGGGACCATCCAGCACCAAATGTGGCAGTCAACCTGCCCACCGTGGATGTGGCTATACCGGCGGAAGGCTGCATAAATCATTCTGGATGGCAATGACACCCGTTAAGTCCTACAACATGCCATTCGTAACTCCCGATGCGGGTCATTCGTACGAACGTGCGTGCTAGTACTGAGGAGCGAACATGTTGCGGATGGACTACTAGTCAAAATCTTCGGAAGACTGACTGCGTGGTGAGGTGAAGGTGCGGAGAAACCATGATCCGCAGAGTGGGGCTTTGAAAGCAACGACAAGATGTTGCTTGCCCTTACGAGACAGGCAACTTGCCGATTGGTCGCGTAAATCCACCGCCATTCTTTTTTAGGACCGCGGTCCTACAACAGCGTAACGGAAGGTGCGCGGAAAACGGGAGCAGTGTCTGGAGTTATGACTACGCGTGGTCAAAGTGGTGCTATTACCTGTAAACAACTGGGGAGGGTGGGCCGAAACCTGTTGCCTGTGCTGACTGACATGGGCCATTTCACCGCCAGTATCTTCACCATCTCAGGATACTTTTCCGGGGTCAAGCTAGTTCATGGAGGTAGTTTTGGATTTAATGGGGGTAGAATTGTGCATTCCCTTCGCCCCATGGAGTGTAACCTCTGTAAATGCCATAACGCCCTTCACCTGGATCACTAATGCCATAAGTGTATCAGACTGAAGTGCATCATGTCTGTATGGTGTTAGCCCCACAGTCTCTGGGTGCCCGTCTCATTACACGAAAATGCGAAGAATTATTCCTCAGGTTTACAACGTTCATAGTTGTGCACGTTTTAACTGTTAGTAAAAACGTGTTTCAGGTTCAGTTCCTTACTGAATCGAATTCTCCTGGGGAGTACAATTTCCGAAATTACCTGATTGGTAGAAATTTGCTGTTCCGTAATTGGGCGAGATTCGCGCACATTGCAAATTTTGGATCCAAGTAATTCTGTTCGACCAGAATCGATCTGCTCGACGAAACACTTGTCGAACTAAATTCTGTCGACCAGCAATCCGTCGAAACACCAATTCTGCCAATTCCGTCTATCAGAAAGGCTCGTCTTTGACGCCGTTTTACTCCTGTCGACGAGCTCCTTCTAGACGAGGACTTTGATTGAGCAGAGGAAACACTTCTACATCGACCAATTAATCTCGTCGACAAACGACTCGTCGCACACAGATAAAAGTCCCCGAAGTCGCCGATGACCACGAAACGAACACCGTCTTGTTCCGAAATGCATGGTCGACTTCGCCCAAGCGAGGGCGGGGCCTTTTCTCTTCGACACTCCCCTGCCCAGCTCACGCTTGGGCACCCACACACAAGGTCCACCCAGAACCCAGAGGGATAGAATACAAGGAGAAAATTCCTTCTACGTGCAACACATAGCACGTAAATCACCGCACCAGCCGTGCAGAAAGGGCACGGCACCTACTGCTGCACCGCGTTATCCCCGTCGCCCGCGTCGGCCAGACGCACTTGGCCGATTGCGACGCAGCACCGGTTGAAAGCCGGAAAATGCAGCGCCTTCGTCAGAAAATCTGCCGGCTGCTCGGAGGTCGGGATGTACTGCAGAGCAATCTTCCCGCGCTTCACCATCTGCTGCAGCCAGGCGTAGCGTCGCTCCATGTGCTTGATGTTGCCCTTGAGCCCCAAGCCTTCTGCGACAGTGATCGCCGACTGGTTGTCCACGTGCAGAACAGTCGGCTTCCTTGGGTCGAGCAGACGGAACTCTGCAAGGAGGAAGCGCAAACGGCGAGCCTCCTTACCGGCTTTGGTCGCCGCGACGTACTCTGATTCGGTCGACGAGAGGGTCGCGCACTTGATGCGCTTGCTCACCCAGGAGACTGCGGCTCCTCCGAAGACGAAAACGTAGCCGCCCGTGCTCGTCCGATTCTGCTTATCGCCAGCGTCGTCGGCATCTGCATTGCCGACTAGACACAGCGACTCTGGTCTGCCGCCGAACTCCAGAGTGGCGTCACGAGTTTCAGCGAGGTAGTGCAGACAGCGATCGACCTCACGCCAGTGGTTGTCGCTCCGCACTGTCAGGCCCGATCCGAGCTTGCTGCAAGCAAAGGCAATGTCGGGCCTCGTCGTGGTGGCCGCGAACTGCAGCGAGCCGACCTTCTGCCGATACTCTGCTTCCTCGCGCGACTGAAACTTCTCGTCGTCGAACACCAGCTCTGCGTAGGCGTCGACAGAGACCGGCGTCTTCGGCACTCGCCCGGTCTGCTCCTCGTCGATGAAACGCCGACGCAGCTTGTCGACGTAGACTTGCTGGTGAAGCCACAACTTCCTCGCAGGACGGTCGCGCACGATTTCCAGCCCGAGATACTTCTCGACCGGGCTGATTTCGCGAATCTCTAAGGCGGCCTCCAGCAGCTCCTTCAGCATCGCAGTGCTGCTACTTGCAGCGAGCAGATCGTCGACGTAGACGAGCACCCAGCATGCCACTCCGTCGTTGCCGACCTTGAAGTACAGCGCCTCATCGACCTGGCTCTTCTGCCACTTGGCGCTAGTCAGCACCGCATCGAGCGCCGAGTACCACAGCCGCTGACTCTGCTTCAGGCCGTACAAGCTCTTGAGCAGCTTGCAGACTCGGCCAGTTCCGTCGTTGAAGTAGTCGGGCTGGTACATGTAGAGGACACGATCCAGCTTGCTCTGCCGAAATGCATTCTTCATGTCGAGCTGCATCAGATGCAGGTCGAGCACCGCGACGATGCAAAGAAAGATCCGCAGAGTTACGTAGCTCCCCACCGGCGCGTACGTCTCGTCATAATCTGCGCCGTGAACCTACGTGAAGCCTTTCACGACCAAGCGGGCCTTCTCGCGGGCGACCGTGTCATCGACGTGGTA